TCTATCTCTCTCTAAAAGTAATTTAAAAAAATAAAAATATCAATCTTTATTATAAGCTAGACATAAAGGCATTTATGAAAGTATTATTGATAAGCAACATTAGTGAGAGAAAAAGACAATCATATTTACAAGAAATTTGAGGCTTTTTCACTTGTAGGGAACTAGAAATTTAACCTAACAATAATAAAATACATGTTGCTATGAGGAAAAATTTTTTAATTAATGAAATTCCTTTTTTAGGCAGAGAAGGTTTACTTGACCTTCAGGAAGGTTGAGATATTTGCAAGACAGAAGGGTAAATTTTAGGACTAAATACAAAATCTCTGGAGAAGATATGGGAAGAAATTACTTGAGGCTTCTTGCGAATTTCATTATGGTTTGATCAGAAATACCATGCAAATATCCTTTGTCAGTGTATTTTGGCAATTCTTCCTAGGAGACCAAGGAGTGAAGAGGATTACCAAAAAAAAAAAAAAAAAAAAAAAGGTTGATTTTAGACTAGAAAAATGCAGTGGGGAATTCTATAATTTTCTAGCCAATTTTCTACCTCATTCCTGTGTCCACTATACAGTATTCCAAAATCTTTACAGAAACCAAAACTGCAAACTTTGAATTGAATCAAAACTTCATCTCTCTCAACAATTTTGAGAATAACCAAAATGTAATCTCATCATTGTTCTACTACAGCAATTAGCTTGCTTCGGAGTCTAAGAGTCTAAAACGCTCAGGCCTAAAGTTAGAAAAGGGAATGTCCTGAGTCACAGAATCTAGGGAGGTGGACCACAGAGCTCCTGGAAGAAGAGGTGTACCTTGACCTCATAAACAAATACAGCCAAGAATGCCCTGTCTGGACCTGCTCTTTGTCTCTACTTCTCTCTGTTTACCTGCATCACCCTCTCTCTTCATAAATCTTATTCTATATGGGATATATCAATGCCTTGGTTGTACGTCTTATAGATGTAGTCACTTGCGGGGTATAAACTTCTTTGGTGCTCTCTTTAGAACAAAGTCCTAAAATCATAGGGAAGGGATTAGTCCATGCTACCCCTGGACTTTGTGGCCTGTTGACTGAAGGACTCAGATTACTCCACTTCACATGCAACTTAATTCACTATGACTAGAGAAGCAAGATCATGGAATAACATGACATCTGCCTTGGGTACTATAAGGCAACAGGGAAAATGGGGAGCTGTTCGAGGCAAAGGAGAATGTTATGGTGTGTGGCAGGAAAATCATAGCAGCACCAGGCAAAACCCACATTATATCCATGATGGTTATACATAGTTCATGGAAAGCTAGGCTCTAGCCACTTAAATGATTCTCGGTATTGAGATATATACTAAGTGGCCAGATTATTATGATCTCTGAACGCATAATAATCTGGCCACTCAGTATATATATTAATATATATATTAGAGGCTTGGTGCATGAATTCGTGTATGGATGGGGTCTGGCCAGCCTGTCCAGGGGGGAGGAGACATGGGCAGTTGGCCAGCCTGCCTACTGGTCAAACTCTTGGTCGAGGAGACAATTTACATATTAGTCTTTTATTATATAGGATATGCACTGAATGGCCAGATGGTTATGCATTCAGAGATCATAATAATTTGGCCACTCAGTGTATAACTAATAGCATACCTATGCCACATGAAGCAAAGTCCTGATGGAGCAAATAGAAGTAAATGATTGAGTGCTATCTTCTTCATGAAACTTTTTTTGAATATTTATGTAGGCCCTATCGAATGAACTCTTACAAGTATTTATGATTGCCACTACAGTTTATCATATAATTATTGTACAGTTGTTTGAATAGTAGGCCTAAGTTTCTAGTTCAACTATAGGTATCTTATGCTTCCTTTGACTAGAAGACTCCTATATCAAGATTAGTGTTAAGGACATAATTTATTCCATATGTAATCCATAAATGGTTTTTAAGAGCCTACTTATTGCTAGATAACATCCTCAATCATAATATAAAGATAATCAAAGATGATCCTTAAAGAAAGCACACAATTTCCTGTTTTTTGTCTCCATGTCACTTGGCACAGAAGTCTAGCACGGCCAAATTGGATCTCACAAGTGAATTGCCTCTCCAAACACCAGTGGTGTATCTAGATGCAGTTCAGTTTGCCTATCCAGAAAAATCAGAATTTTCCTCCCTTTTAAGCAAAAAAGCTATTAATGCAAATCCAAATTAATTTGCATTTGATTACATTTCTGATGGAAACATTCATGTGCAAATCAAAATTCATGCAAAAAAAGAGCCAGATAATTCAAATAGTTGCTGAAATATCAAGATAAAATTAGGATGTTAAATGTACATCTGTCATATCTACTAGGATAAAGATCTTTAAATGAGACAATGCTCTTGTAATGTCTTGAACATTTAACATTTGAGTAGATCAGGGTTCAGAAGGAAGCTATTGCATTACTTTCTACTGCCAGAGTGATGAAAAAGAAGTCAGTCATTGGTCAAATCCGTTAAGTTGTTCAAAACAGGTTCATCTTGGATACGTCATTTTGCCCCTTTGTCTTGTCTTTAAAAACAAAAAATTTTGATAGACCTGAAGTGATTTTTATTATCCCAAACCATGGACAGATAGTTTGTGCTAGTCAGCAGTTGCTTCATACTTTCTAGTGACTTAATGGTATTATACAAGTTAAATGGCCCCATCACAATCATTACCAATAAGTATGTTTTGGGAAACATTCACAGCATCATGAGTGTACCAGTGGAACAGTGATCTGGCTTATTCTTCTAAAAAAAAGTATTTCAGATGTAAGATTCCATGATTCTAAGAAAACATTTAAGCCAAATTTTAAAATATAAGTTACTAATCCACTATTGCACGTTCCAAGGCTTTATATGAAGGACATATAGGTCTTGGAATCATACCATTGCTCTTGTTAAAATTAACAAAAGTTGGAGTGACATAAGAGAAAGTTTTGAGATCATGGTATTTAAGATTCCTAGCACTTAGTTTAATAGTCTACAAAGTGTAATGCTTCTCTTTTATTTGATCCAATGTATTAGTTTATAGTTTCAAGTCTTTTTAGCATTTCAGTGGTTCTACTTTGGTGAATGTCACCTACCATACATCAAATTTGAAAAACCTGAACATAAAGGAGGACCTTAGCCTCATCCTCTTTGGCATACCTGGTTCTTCCCCAACACTAGTGATTTTCTTTCTGAAGTATCTCTCAAATCTAGCCACTTCTCTTGTAGTCTCTATCACCAATTCCTTAACCTTTATCTTTTGCAATCCCTGACACACTCTAGCTGGATTTGTCATTTAAAAATGCAGATACTCCACAATTCCACCCAACCATCCTCCTTGCTTAATACCCTCCAATGTCTTCCTGTTTCTCTTAGAATAAAACCCCAATCCTTATCAGGGCTGTCACAGGCTGCATGGTCTGGTTCCTGCCTGCCCCCTCACCTTGCATCACGCTGGCCCGCGTTCACTCTGCACTCAGCCCTGACCTTCCAGAACCAGGGATGCACCATGTCCTTCCAGTCACCACTGCTCTTCCCCAACTTCTAAGTTAAAACTTCAGGCATTCTCCATTAAAGCTTTCCTGACCTTCCAGGCCCCATCAACTCCCCCTGTTACTTCTTCCATGCCATCATGCAACTTCCTTTCATAATACTTATCTGAGTTTGTAATGTCATATTCATTTTTTGAGACTATATCACTTGTATTAACTGCTCTCCTGGCTTTCTGAAGGATGAGACTGGATCCATCTTTTGCTTATCCAAATAAGACCAGATGAGTGTCACATACCAGGCATTCAGTGAATACTTGTTGAATTCATGGAAGGTTCCACTTCCTGTTCTCATCTATAATTCACACGTCCATGATAGTGAAAGCCAAGAATAAAAATAAAAATGGACTGACTTGCTTGAAGATCACCCTGCCACAAATTGCCAGAGAGAATTAGTATAGCAGGTTCTGTGATATCTTTTATGGCAGAGAAGGCGAGATGAAGAATATGGTGTTCTCAAGGTTAACTGCTCTCAGAAACTGTGAAAGTTGAACTCCTCCATGAATTGTACAAAGCAAAGGGCTTTTTGTCACCTTGTAGTGGAGGATAATGGAACAGACACCCTCGCAGCTCTGTCTTATGCATAAAATTTTTATTTAGAACATTTAAGCCCCACTCGTTTCAGAAACATACCTAGAAATTTCAAATATGCACAGTCTTGTCACACAAGTTGCTAAAATTGATTTACAACTATTACTCATTTTACAGGAATAGTCATAATTACAATATTTTAAAGTAACTCACACAGCCATATAGCCATTTTCTTAGCTGACCCTGTTACCTTGTATTTCTATCAGTCATGAGCTTCATTTTATTTTCAGCGGCTTTAAAATACTGAGCTACATATTGAAATTATAGGAAAAGATAAACTGCCACATTCCATGATTTTTTTAAAAACAAAGTCCCAGTATTATCTCTCTAGGAATATCTGTCCCCTTGCATCTGTCTGAGAATATGCAGTCCTGGTTGTCTGTGATATTCAGAGTGGAGCGTTAAAAGCTTATATTTAGCAACAGGATGTAGCTGTGGTTAGGGACGTTAAGTTTAGTGGACAATAAAAAATTAAATATACCTTTATTAAAAGAGAAGGAAGTTTTATATAGGCTATTAAAGTCGCTTGGAGCTCATAGTATCCCTCCCCCTTATGAATCTTAGAATGCAGTTCAGCTTTTTCAAAAAATTTCCCTAGAAATCATTTGTGAAGTTATGTGGACGAGTAGCCCTGGAAAAAGAAAATAAAACATGCCTGTGTAACTTAAAGCAAAGTCCTCTCTGTTTTTGCACACACGAATAAACATGTAACCCCAAAATGTCTGCAACATTTCTGCCAAATATATACACTAGGTATCTGTAGTCTTTTTGTAAGTTACCATGTCTTCCTAGCAATGATGTAAGCAGACTTGGGCTCCTAGGAGGAAGGAGAAAAGACATGTCTTCTCCTTTTGTGATTCCAGTTAAGAATGCAAATTGCACAGCAGACTTTGAGGAGTACTTTGCCAAAAGGAAACTGGAGGAACGCGATGTGCACGCGGTCAGCATTGAGGAGTACCTTCAGCGCAGCGACACGGCCATCATTTACCCAGAGGCCCCCGAGGAGCTGTCTCGCCTTGGCACGCCCGAGGCCAATGGGCAGGAAGAAAATGGTGAGGCTGTAATTCATTTTTAGCCACTACGCTGACCTCTGCAGCTGTTACAATTACAAATGCACTACATGCCTGGGTGTTTACCTTAAAATTTGAGGAACAGCTGCAGAGGCATGGAATTTCATGAGCAAAGATTAGAACTGTAATTTTAGGGTATTGTGAAATTTTTTTTTGTCAGCAAATTTGTGTCATTTGTACATCCAATAAAGAACAAGAACAATTAGAGCCCGTTTCTACGAGATAAAAATATCTAAATGGGTCCCCATCTTTCTGAAATATTTCACTTTTTCGTGGCAGAAAATACACACACACATACACACTCACAAACACACAAACACACACAAAGTTTAGAAGGACTGACCCTAACCTTTGTTCTTTTACGGGCACCTGACCAGCTCCTTCACCCTGTGAATTCCTGAGTCATTTGTGACTCCAGGTTTACTACGTACTGTCAGTCACCTCCAGAGAAGCTCCTCATTTATCAGCTGTTTAAATCCTCCTCCTTCTCCCCCCCTCCCCCAAGCTCCAGTAATTAATTAATTTCCCAGCGCAGTGTGAGCTGATTCCGACAAGTCTGTCCCGGGTGCGCACGGGGCCAGGGCAGGCGCGCCGATGGCACTGGCGTGCACAGACTGCCCTGATTCCTGTCATGCCATCCCGGGCAGCCAGCCCATTAGCTGCCATTGATTTACTGACCTTTTGGCCTGCTTCTCTCCCTCCCGTCTCTGGGCTTACAGACCTGCCACCTGGAACTCCAGATGCTTTTGCCCAACTGCTGACCTGCCCCTACTGCGACCGGGGCTACAAGCGCTTGACATCCCTGAAGGAGCACATCAAGTACCGCCACGAGAAGAACGAGGAGAACTTCTCCTGCCCTCTGTGTAGCTACACGTTTGCCTACCGCACCCAGCTCGAGCGGCATATGGTGACGCACAAGCCAGGGACAGATCAGGTGGGGGGGCCGGTTTCTAAGTGATTCCTTTTCTGTAATAACCCCTTAGAGGAACGATATTGCTTTGATTGGCAATCATTATTAATTTTTCATGGCATTTTGAAGATGCAGATCTTTTAATGGTAATAGCTTTAATTGAGGTCTAAATGATTTTTTGATGGTCTCTTCTAATATGATTTAATAGTCTTATGTTCACGATCGAATGAGTGTGTTAATTTCTAATTTAGAAATTTTATTTGCACTTTAACTTGACTTTAGTTTCATTTTTATGTTCCACCAAAAAAAAAAAAAAGTGAATGAAATTGTAGCATTTTAATTATACATTATTAAACATCTCAGCAATTTTAATTCCATTTTTCACCCAGTTTTACTGGGGGGAAATTTTTTTTTTTCATATAGGCTCTAAGTCAGAGTAAAAGAAATGTGTATTTCTTTCACTTGTCTAACACCTTCAATTACTTAGAGTATTTTTACAAGTAGTTACTAGTTTATGAAATCTAATTAAGTGTTTTAAGGAGAAAAATTTTTAAAGCATATAATATATGTGCATATATTGAACATAAACTGGATTACTACTAAAATATTGGATATACTTATATATTGGATATAAAATATTGGTTAAAAAATGATCCCTTTTTGATATGCACGTTTATTGCTGAATGGTAAAATTACTTGGCCTCTTTTAGCTTACTTGTGTTAAAAATAAAAACTCTATCTTTGACAGGTAAGCAAAGCTTCTTAAACCCTTAAAATGATTGGATAGGATTGATTCACAGTGTCTCTTCAATGCTTTAGCAAAGCTGCTCTTTCTGCCCTCCTGGGAGAACTGACCGCACACTGACATTATGATGTATTCGGGTGGTAACAGAAATGGTGTGCCTACCCCCCAGTACCTGGCCCTCCAGAGCTGGAATCCCCCTGGATAACCTGGCCACCAGACCTGTTTTTTAAAAATTATTAAACAGGATATGCTACAGAACTCTTAAGTTTTGTTTCCTATGGGCTTTATTTTCTTTGACTAAGGAAAATGAGAGTAAGCAAACACAATCAAGCAATGATGATGATGATACTATATTATGGAATTTTACTATTTTAAGAGAGCATTTCACGTAAATCACTCCATTTATATATGATTGGGCTTGTCATCTCAATGTTTTTCCAAGTTCAGTTACAAAAACTATGCTTGCATAGCTACACTCATGTAACAGTTTACCTCCCCGTTCTTATAGGCACACAAACGCTAGGGGGTGGGGAAAAGGGCCTAGATATTTATCTAGCACAACTGCTTTAAATTTCACATGCAGAAGTGTGATTGTGTTGGCGCATTATGAATGGTAGCTTTGGTGTTGAAAAGTCCCCTCATTTGCTCATGGCATTTACAATTAGTAAATTAAAATGATTGTATCATATTAACAGTGGCACAACTAAAGTTTATAGTAGTCCTCTGAGGGCCGTGGGGGAGACAAAGCAGCTGTTGCTGTTTGTTTATGCAACTCAGCAACATATGAGCGCTGGTCCCTCAATGGCGCTCGGCGGGCTGGGCTCCGCTTGATCTTTGAAGGTTGCTGCTGTTTGAACAAACCTCCCTGTGTCCCATGTAACACCATCTGTCTCACTAGGAATGTGGGAAGATTCAGCACACCCTAGCAGTTGTCATACCGTTTCTGTGCTGTCTTTTTTGCAAAAGGCTTTTGTGTCATTGCTGCTTGAAGAAGGCTGACCTCCTACCTTGAGCATCCAGAGTGGATGGCTGTATTTTCTTTTCTCCCCTTCAGAATTCGAAGTCACAGTGCTTTTTATTTCCTTGTTCAGAAAGGTCAGCTGTGTTTGATTATATCTTCGCTGCTTTTAACTTGTCTTTTCAGCAAAGTTTTTTTTTTTTCTCTCTCTCTCTCTCTCTTTTTTTTGGTCCCTACTCTCTAGCACAGTGCTAAAAAGGAAAAGGAAAAGTCGTTGAAGTCTTTCCGACTGGCCTGTGATAAAACTGCTCACGATGTTGTCTCTTACAGTTGATAATGAATCAGATCTGATATGCAGCACCTCAAAAAAAAGAGGGTTTACAGTTGCTCCTAGCGCAGTGAAGGAGCCCTTCAAACATGCTTATCGTGTAAAGACATGTTTATAGTGAAGGGGTTGTTGTTTTTTTTGTTTGTGTGAGGGTTCTTTCTTTCTTTCTTTCTTTCTTTCTTTCTTTCTTTCTTTCTTTCTTTCTTTCTTTCTTTCTTTCTTCTTCAGATTTGCTTTTGCTTCAGTGTAAGACACACTGTTACCCTGATACAGAAAATGCGATAAAATTAGTTGTGAGTGTGAGGGGACTTACTTGGGGGGAGGGAACTATTTAGAATTTTTAGGATAATATTTTTTTTTCTTGACATACTGGTTGCATATCATCAGGAAACCTTCAGATTTTAGCATCTGCCATAAACACAGAGAACCACAAACATGTTCACAATTAGGCTTTCTCCTCTCGAAAGGCTCAGGGAAACATTTTGGAAGAGATACTACAGAGATAATTCTAAAGCAAGTAGTTGGATGCACATGTGAAAGCACCTTTTTTTTTTTTTATTTGTCCCAATTTTATTGCCAACATTATCACTTTTATTGCAACTCTGAAAGACTGAGCAAATAAATAAACATGCACTCAAACCTTTTGGCCTGCCTGGAAAAAAAAGAGGCCTTTTAAAAATATTTGTAGCGAATTTCCTTTGTTACTCCTGCATAAAACTGATGTCATTCTTTCTCCTTTTATAGCACCAAATGCTGGCCCAAGGAGCAGGTAATCGCAAGTTCAAATGCACGGAGTGCGGCAAAGCCTTCAAGTATAAACACCATCTGAAAGAACACCTGCGAATTCACAGCGGTGAGTAGCAGGGGTGCTGGTGCTCACCTTTGCATTTTGCTTCCTCAGGGGAGTCTGAAAGATTGCTTAAAGTTTACACAGGCTTGCTTGTAGCTTTTCGGAACTCCCCACTTACTTCCTGCACAATGTGTGCCTGTTTTGTCTCCATGAGACTATGTTTCCACCAAAAGCATGATCTCGATAGTAAGCAAGGAGAGAGATGCTTATAGTTCCTAAAAAACCACAAATGCTTTGATTTATCACAAAATCTAGAAGCTCCTTTTTTTCCTTTAAAAAACAACAACCCTTCTACAGGTTAAATATTGTTGACCTGAAGAAGCTCCAATGTCAAATTCTAAAGAATATTCATTTTTGATACTTCACCATGAAAGAGAAAAAAATTGAAGAATTTTGGAAAAGAGCTTTTGTACCATACATATTCCTTGATTCCTGAGAGTGGTATGTTACAAAACAACATCCTCCCACCGAGATTTCTCCTGTATAACTGTTTTGATAGTTCTGCCAAGCATTTTATCACCACGTTGGATGCCACTTAGAGGACTAGTTGGATTGGTAAAAAAATCAATGGAATCTCTGAAGAATTGATTAAAACCATGGCTATCCTTCCCTTTAATACCATGACATCTTTATTGTGCTATTGACCACACATTAATCTGAAACTATGTTTAAAAGGAGGCTGCCGATGGCAAAGGCAAGATTTGGGATCGTGGCTGAAAAAAGGATAGCCCTCACCTTCCACTGCTAACATCTTGAATCATGCCCTCCCAGGGTAGAGAAAGCCCAGAAACAGTTATGGCCACATATTAATAATTTTAATCTAAGTACCGAGAATGTAGAGATCCCCCATTGTGTTCCTTTCCTTTGGTTTTACAGATTCTTGTTTTGGTAGACAATTGTAGTCATTACTTATAGAAATATAATGTTAACTCTAATTGTCATTCCAGGTGAAAAACCATACGAGTGCCCAAACTGCAAGAAACGTTTCTCCCATTCCGGTTCCTACAGTTCACACATCAGCAGCAAAAAGTGTATTGGTTTAATCTCTGTAAATGGCCGAATGAGAAATAATATCAAGACGGGTTCTTCCCCTAATTCTGTTTCTTCTTCTCCTACTAATTCTGCCATTACCCAGTTGAGAAACAAATTGGAGAATGGAAAACCACTCAGTATGTCTGAACAAACAGGCTTACTTAAAATTAAAACAGAACCACTAGACTTCAATGACTATAAAGTTCTTATGGCCACACACGGGTTCGGCGGCACTAGTCCCTTTATGAATGGTGCACTTGGAGCCACCAGCCCTTTAGGAGTTCCTCCGTCCGCTCAGAGTCCAATGCAGCACTTAGGCGTAGGGATGGAAGCCCCTTTACTCGGATTTCCCACAATGAATAGTAATTTAAGCGAGGTACAAAAGGTTCTACAGATTGTGGACAATACGGTTTCCAGGCAAAAAATGGACTGCAAGGCTGAAGAAATTTCCAAGTTGAAAGGTTATCACATGAAGGATCCATGCTCTCAACCTGAGGAACAAGGAGTTACCTCTCCTAATATTCCGCCCGTAGGTCTTCCAGTAGTGAGTCATAACGGTGCCACTAAAAGTATTATTGACTACACATTAGAGAAAGTCAACGAAGCCAAAGCTTGCCTCCAGAGCTTGACTACTGACTCAAGGAGACAGATCAGTAATATAAAGAAAGAGAAGCTACGTACGCTAATAGATTTGGTCACTGATGACAAAATGATGGAGAATCACAGCATATCCACTCCGTTCTCGTGCCAGTTCTGTAAAGAAAGTTTTCCTGGCCCCATTCCCTTGCATCAGCATGAACGTTACCTTTGTAAAATGAATGAGGAGATCAAGGCAGTCCTGCAACCTCATGAAAACATAGTTCCCAACAAAGCTGGAGTTTTTGTTGATAATAAAGCCCTCCTCTTGTCATCTGTACTTTCTGAGAAAGGAATGACAAGCCCCATCAACCCATACAAGGACCACATGTCTGTACTTAAGGCATATTATGCTATGAACATGGAGCCCAACTCTGATGAACTGCTGAAAATTTCCATTGCTGTGGGCCTTCCTCAGGAATTTGTGAAGGAATGGTTTGAGCAACGAAAAGTCTACCAGTATTCAAATTCCAGGTCACCATCACTGGAGAGGAACTCCAAGCCGTTAGCTCCCAACAATAACCCTCCCACGAAAGACTCTTTATTACCCAGGTCCCCCGTAAAACCTCTGGACTCCATAACATCGCCATCGATAGCGGAACTCCACAACAGCGTTACGAATTGCGATCCTCCTCTCAGGCTAACAAAACCTTCCCATTTTACCAATATTAAACCAGTTGAAAAATTGGACCACTCCAGGAGTAACACTCCTTCCCCCTTAAACCTTTCCTCCACCTCTTCTAAAAACTCCCACAGTAGTTCTTACACTCCAAACAGCTTCTCTTCCGAGGAGCTCCAGGCTGAGCCTTTGGACCTGTCATTACCAAAACAAATGAAGGAACCCAAAAGTATGATAGCCACAAAGAGCAAAACAAAAGCTAGCAGCATAAACTTAGACCACAACAGTGTTTCTTCGTCATCTGAAACCTCAGATGAGCCTCTAAACTTGACTTTTATCAAGAAGGAGTTTTCAAGTTCAAATAATCTGGACAACAAAAGCACTAACCCAGTGTTCGGCATGAACCCATTTAGTGCCAAACCTTTATATACAGCTCTTCCTCCACAAAGCGCATTTCCCCCTGCCACTTTCATGCCACCAGTCCAGACCAGTATCCCTGGGCTACGACCATACCCAGGACTGGATCAGATGAGCTTCCTACCACATATGGCCTATACCTACCCAACTGGAGCAGCTACTTTTGCTGAAATGCAGCAAAGGAGAAAATACCAACGGAAACAAGGATTCCAGGTAATGAGTCATATCTTTTTGCTGTGAAAGAGATGAAAATAATATCATTGATGTGCATGCCGGAGAAAAATGATGGTGAAAAAAATCAAGTTTCAGCAGAAATAGAAAAGTTTGTTTTAATTTGAACCTAGGAAATTAAAAGAAGAAAGAGTAGAACACTGTACTCTTGAAACATATTTGCCTTAAAAATAGAAAGTATTAACATTTATTTTTGAAGCCTGTTCAGATTGATTCACCTACTTTTGAAGTTACACTCTGATAACAATACTTGCTATTATGTCCATAGATGCTAAAAGTTAACATTTATAAGTCACAGATGTTCACAAATTGCATGTATAATTTTGATGTGCACTTGGTTTTATAGAAAATAGCTTATTTTGAAAAGTATTTTAAAGATTATTTTGCACATTCCACAGGACTTTTTCTGTAATTTCAAATTAGCAAATAATTTGTGGTTTTTCAAATACAAAAGCAGGTATGTTGTAACATATTGGAGTATAATCCCTGCTTGCAAAATAGGAGCATAAGTAGCATGCACCTCCGTTACAGCTGTCCCCGTATTCCATTTGACAGTACATCTGCCCTCTTTGTAAATGTATTTAAGCCTATTTAATCTTCTCTAATATTAATTAGTGCAAATGTAGTCTAAGAAAACTGAACTGTGGACTAGCAAATGGAAATGTATGTAATCATGCAAGTTTGCACTCCTTGGATCAAGACAAAATAAATATCAAGAAATTTAATAATTTACTGATCCACATTCATTATTGTTCAATGCTGAAGGCTGTTTTAACATAGATAGAACATTGATAAAAAGTGTTATTAATATTCCCTATTTCAAATTAGAAAATTAAATATAAAAATATAGCTTGAGGCTGTTAGTTGGTAGACATACATTTAAATAGATTGCATAATAATAACATTTTGTACCTAAATATAAAATTCAATTAAAATGGGGTTTCTGCAGCTACATATCATTTCTGAAGTCAAGCACACTGGAAAATGCACAAATTCTGATGTTGAATTTTCATTCATGGGTATTTCCTAATATATAGAAAATTAAGGATTTTAGAAAATGTTATGTTTTTCTCATTTGCAGAATTAACTATTTTCTATTCTTGAAAAACTATGAGCTCTATCATGTAGGATAGAGAAAGCTTATGTTTTTGTTGACAGGTGACTCCTCATATATTGTTTGTGTAAGTTAATATGTTTTTTTAAAAAAACAGAAAACAAAAACTAGATCAATTAATAGCAAGCATTATGAGGTTCTCCAAATGTCAGCCTATGCGAAGTTGTTTGGTATCAATACAAAGAGAAGAGACTGTGTTGAACTGTGTGATTACATCACAGGGAGAATTGCTTGATGGAGCACAGGACTACATGTCAGGCCTAGATGACATGACAGACTCCGACTCCTGTCTGTCTCGAAAGAAGATCAAGAAGACAGAGAGTGGCATGTATGCGTGTGACTTATGTGACAAGACATTCCAGAAAAGCAGTTCCCTTCTGCGACACAAATACGAACACACAGGTATGAGTGACTTTGACTAGCTAGTTAGAGCTTCCTGGCCTGCTGTACATTTCATAATATTTAATGAGTACACTTGTGCAACATAAGATGTAGCATATGCTGATACCTTCAACAAGGAAGAAATAACACTTTTGCCTAGCTCAATAGGATTTTTCTGTTGCCTGTTTATTGGATCACTTACATGTTTGTGAGTGTGCTTGTCTGTCTATCTTATGAATTAATCTGTACACCAAATTCACTAATCATGTTAAAGGTATCTATAAATGGCCAGAAAAATGAAATGGGATGCATGATTGAATCAAGCTATTGAAACTATCTTCAAATACTTAAGCTGTCAAGAAATGTAAAAAATTAATAACAAAAGAAATTTAGTCAATGTTGTATTAATTTCATCATACAAAATTTAAGTAAACCATGATACAGGGGTGATTCTGTTTGGTTTTAGTAAATTGGCCATATTTTGAATAAAATAAAAATGTTAGTTCTGTGAAAGAAAAGACACAAGTAACGTAATAGACCAAATATGCTACTGAAATGACTTGTATTTAGAAGACTAAAATAAAACTTTCTAAATTCATTTCCAATTCAGAAAAATTATAGAGTTGACAAGATGGCAGCCTAATTCTTCTCTTTGAGTAGAGAAATAGTGGGTTAATTTTTTTAAAAGGAAAGTGAAGTACTATCATATGAAGTAATATCACTTCCCATGATCTGATCTGCAACTGCGCGGTGCAGTGACGCTGTGTTCCCTCCTGCCTCCTTCTCCCTCCACCCTTCACAGCAAAGTAACTCGGCCTCATCCCTGTTCCCAACCTTTCTTCACTAGAGACTTAGCATGCTTTACTGATCCTAGATGGGAAAAGGAAGAGTGTAGGATTTCAATCAAAATATTGGCAGGGAAAATTATTTTTTAAAAAAAATTTTGTTTTAAACCAGGAAATCTGGTAACATTTTAATATAGGGGGGAAAAATCAACATAATATTAATGCTTTTGGGGGGAAGTGATGAAGAGACAAAAGAAGAAAAAGAAAATAGAAGGACTGGGAATGTTTTTTGTCATACTTTGTCTAAATACATAGCACTCTTTTTAGAGACTGAAAACTGTCTTTGGGAAGCACTTCCTATTCATTCCTCACTGAGCATGTTCTGGAGGCAACACCAGTGACCAGAATCACCCTGAGAGTGAGGGGAAAGTTGTGTGGGTTCTGTAACATGAAGTGTTGAGAGTAATGTGAAGAGAACAAAATTGATAAATAACAGTGCTCTTCATCTAGCTCAGTTTTCTTTTCCTTTAACTGTTTGATATTAATTGCTATTATTTTAAGTTCAAATAAAGATACTTTAATGACAAATTTGAATAGCAGATCCCCAAAATTTTTATACTTGTGTGATATAATTCAAAGTTTGATATGTCAGAATTTTCCTACATTTGTCTTTTTTGCTAGCTATCATAGATATTTATTTAGTACCGAGTCCTAGTTAAGTATTTTTAGAGTAAAGATATTTTCATACCTAAATTTAATATTTTAATCAACCTCAAATATATTTTTATTTCATTATTCAGCTGCAATAGGCACATCACTGAAGGCATCTTTCCCTCTCTGATTGGTTTTATTATCTGACCATATGCAAACTCTATCATTTGCTACATGGTGAGTGTAAAACTTTTATTTTAGTGAGGGCTATCATGCATATTGGCATCCAATTAATAACTTTAAAAAAATAAATTACATAGTCCATAAATTTCATAGGTATATAGAAAGTTGAGAGACCCAAAAGTTGACAAACATAAATACACATAATCAATTTGAAAAAATATGTTGTATCTAAAAAAAGAAAAAGAAAATGTTCTGGTCCTTTAAAATGTGAGATCTGCTTCCTAGAAACATTGCTTAGCAACAAGATGCTAACCATCCAATGGTTTCTCTAACCGTGTGATTAATTTTCCTCCTGTTGGCTCACCTGCTTGTCAAGTTTCCAGTATGTTAACTTTTTGGTCTCTTGACCAAACATCTCATGATGTTACTACTGTCAATGTATCAGGTTTCATCAAAGTGAAGTTCTTCATGAATTTTCTATCTTTATAATATATGTGGAAATTTATTCCATTTTCCTTCCCTAATCGGACCCCAGCAACCTTGTATTTGTTTATATTAAGCACTAGTAATACATTGAAAATGTAATAATATGAAAATTATAAGTGAGAACAGTCTTTGGGTTGATTAAGTCTGAGGTTGGGAAATGAAGTCAGATTATCATTTGAAAATATGTTAAGAATGTGTCATTGATAAAGTGTTTTTCTTACATGTCCACAATTTAACATATAGAATAGTTTAAATTAATAAGGAAATTATGAGCTACTTATTCTTGTGATCCTGTGCTCTTTTACCTCGACCTGTTTAATTTATTCCTAGGCAGACACCAATGATATAATGCTTAATTTTTCTTACCAGTGGTGTATTGCTTGCTTGCTTTTGCTGGGAATGGGGCCTGTGAAAGAGGAAAAAACACACTATATAAATGTTGACTTCGATAGGATTAATTGCCACAAACAAGTACTGTGAAATAAAAAATCTGAAAACCCTATTAGACACTGTTAAGAACTCATTTGCATTCCACTAAAATTTAAATTTGACATTTATTGAGTACTTTCTTTATTGAAATATTGAGGTAGGCACTTTTAAACCCACCTTATTTAGAAAAGTAATAAAAATGTTTCTGCTTTTAAGTAGATAAAGTAGGAGTTTTACATAAATTACTAGTCAATTTTATTTCTCAGTAGTATGATAATATTATTCATACCACAAACCTTCCATTTATTAATTTTTGTTATCATTCCAGCTGTCAGGTGAATCATGAACTTCAATATTAGAAAAATTACCCTTAAAAAGTTTTGATCATTCAGTGTCAACTTGGATGTCTTTTCTGAATCTTATTCATGTGGAAATTTAATTCCAGGATGTCTTGATTTGAATCGGGTAAACCAATCAAACAAGTTCAAAAGAGGTGAATGTCCAAGTCAGTTTCTATTTAAATAGAATTTACTGAATGCTTAGCAGTGAAACTTCTGGGGATTTAGTGCAAGATATAGGTCAGAACTCCCAGGCCTTCACTTCCAAATTCTGTCCTTTGTAAAACATAATAGCTGAACATTTTATTCTTTCATGTTGGCAGTTCATAATGCAGAATTGCCATATTTTTATTGTAAGCATATTGTTTATTATCAAATGAATTCCCTGAAAGTTGGTTGCCTCTAACTATAGAGTATCTGTAAATGGACTGCTGTTTAATGGGCATCACCCAGCATTGCTAATAGGCCTTGAAACTTGTCCTGGAGTGTGCTTGTTCTCTCTAAGGATACTGCTTTGTGTTTTGTTCCTTTGGAAAAGAGAGAGCCATGTCAACTGCGATGTTCATTCAAAACTTTTCACACGGCCGATCCATGAAGCGACCTATCTGGTTGACCTTTTTGTGCTCCTGATCTGATGAGACATTAGTTTCTAAAGGAGGTTTTAGGATAGTTCTACCAATAAGTGCTTTACTTGGTAAATTAGAAATCTCTCATCTGCAATTTCTCTTCTTTCCAATCAGATTTCTTTCTTCTATTTACTCTGCTCCTGATACATGCATCTTGCTTGCGACTTGGGAAATTATTGAAAATGTATTAATGAATGCAAATGAAAGGATCTAACATTGAATGAGTGCTCACAATCTATTATCCTTATACTTGCCACTCTTCTTAGCTATGTTGTCTCCTTGACTCCTATGCCCAGTCCGTAAGTTCTGTCTCCAAATGATTTCTCTTTCACTGATAAGAACCTTGGTCCTTAGGGAGGTTAACATAACTGAGACTGCACAGCGGGTCATAAAAGTTGGATTTAAACCCAAGCAATCAGACTCCCCAGATGTAATCAGTGTTACATCTCTCCTATGTAACACTGAGCTGTCCTGTCCCTGTGAATAAAATTGGCACTGTCAGAGATGTCTTACCCTTGCTTCTGATAGCATCCTCTTCTTTAAGGCCCAACATCACATTCCTATATAGCGACTT